CTATGTCTCGTTACCTCGGACGTGGTATCACTATCGATCGGATCAAGGCTAGAATCCACCCTGCAAGAGAATGATCGCTAGAAATGAAGAATAGAATCACTGGAAATGCAGCTACCTCGTGCTTGCCTTGCACCCAACATCGTCGTCGTCGTCGTCGGCATCTGAGATTCCATCCTCCAGCTCCAGTGGCCGTCGCGGGCGCTTCATGCCCCCTAGGGTTTAAACGAGAATATTGTTGACATATCATATCATGTTTAAGTAGTTCTATTCGAAATGAATATGAACCGTTGGATGAATTCTAGAACATAGACTTTTATAGGTCGGCATGTTGTCTTTGTTCAGGTACACAGAAAGCATGAGCTCGTAGATGAGATGACACAGTTTGCGATCTTTCTGTTGCTTGTACTGGAAGATATCCTGGTTCACAGGCAGTGGTGAACGAACGTACTCATCAAAAAACATTCCTCGCTTTTTGTCCAGGAACTAACTAAAAAACTTCCACCTTGGAGAAGGGAGCACTGGCGCTGGCTAGGTGTACGGGGCTCTGCTACTGGAGGAGCTCCCACACATCTGCCAGCATAAAAGAGCTGAATGGCTTCCTCGATCTACCACACAAAATTTTCTTCAAGAAATTGGTAGCCCTAAATGTACTTTAATATGCCTTTTTTTAAAGTTAACTTTATTTCTGGCATGGCAGGCCAAAAGCCATTTGACCTACATTCCCAAGAAGAGAGATGAAGTGATTGTAATGATTAAATATGTATGAACATTCCCTAGGGATTAATACAAAAATCAATTGTGTCACCCTAATGATGCATCCCTATTGCAACCAAAACACCAAGAGTGCAAACCTCAACCTCCAGCCAAGGCTTTCCAAGGTTGAAGGCCTTGATCATGAAGTTCCTCCCTCCAAAATCTATCTCACTCCACTTCTAATCCTTATTAGAGCATAGTCACTACCATGACTTGTAAAGGCAAGGAGTATATAAGTATTGTATCCCTATAATACAATATTGAATGAAACAAGGCTGAATGAAATAGAGCTTGGGAAGTTGTCCCTAAAGTAATGAAAAAAATACAAAAAGTGTGTAGATGATTTCATCTGCTACATTGATCGTGGCTGCTCATTATCAAAGCACCTGCCCCACATCACTGCTTAAAACACAAACGGCTGTACAACTGCTACAAGGGCACTTCTCATTCTAGGATTGAATAAAAAGTACTAAGAGTGGAGCTTCAAAAAGGAAGACAATGTCTAGGACTAAACACCACTAATTGCTATATCAAGATCAATTGGCTCATGGCATCATGGTTTGAGTAGGCCAAATTGCCAAGTCATCCTAAACATATTCAAGCATCATTAATCTTTGGAGGAATGGCTATACAACCAATAAGTTTACTAGACTATACAAATTTATAATTCTATAGAAAGGGAAGACCGAGAACTTTGAATTTAGTGAGTGTAACACATGTTTAATCCCATTATAGACAGCCAAGGGTATCCCCAACATCCAGCCTATTATACTAATGTTGAGAGGGGAGCCTTTTAACAGTGATGAAAATACTCTATCATACTCTAAAATCCAACTCAAAACATATCTTATTCTCACAATAGAGCACCCATGCCGGGCTGGTTGAAAGAGGGAGGAAGCTCTTCCAGGAGATGTGCTCCCGGAAGGCTGCAAGCGTGACTATGGAGCACTACCACGTCGTGGTGGACATGCTAGGCCGGGCAAACAAACTCCAGGAGGCGGTGGAGATGGCGGACTCGATGCCTTTCGCAGCGAATGTGGTGACATGGACCATCGTGCTGAGCTCGTGTCACAAGTGGAAGAGCTTGGAATTTGGAAGGCTGGCGTTTGAGGCACTGGTGAAGCTGGATGAGAAGCAGGCTGCTACTTACGTTCTCATGGCCAACATCTATGGAAGCTTGGGCATGGTTGAGGAAAAAGCTAGAGTTCATGCGATGAGCAAGAGGATTGGTGCGTGGAAGAGGGGATCAGTGGTAGTCAATCTCGATTCGTTTGTCAATTGTGGTGATCATCCTCAAAAGGAAGAGGAGAAGAACTATTATCAAACTTGTGACAGACATACTGTAAAATAGAACTTCTATAAACTCTCTCCATTT